GAGATGGGCTCAGCACTTGAAGGCTCTCAAATGTCTCCTAACCCAACCACTGCCAAGCCCCCACCTCTTACACTTGAACCCTGCTGACGCAGGCCGACCATTTACATTTAGGTGCACCGGCTCACTCTGTTCTTAATACCGAATCTAGAAGGGAAGAGCAGAGAGCGGACTTTATAACAGATCAAACTATCTGAGCTTTTTTCCTTTTGAAATAAAACAAGGAGTTGTATGTCGATCAGATTATCAGGATCTAGAATTTTTAATTATTTAAAATTTTCATTCAATTTTATTTTGCTTTCTGTAAACCTGGCAACATTTTTTGAAAGAACATCTCCTTTTTTACCTACATCATTTGCACTATTTTTACTTCGAGGTGGTGTGTTGACAAGGATTTTTTTAAATCACTGGAAAGTATGAGTTCCTTGGTAATAAACGCAATGGGAGATTGTAATAATGCAGGCTTTGACCTCATTCAAAACCGCATTGATTCACTGAGCACCAAGATGGATAAGCTCATCAACATTCAAGAAAAAGTCCTCAGTCGACTCGATGGAATGTCTCAGGAAATCGACGATATCGAACAGGATATGGAGCATTTGATGGTCGATAAGGAGGAAATCCATCTCCCGCCCAAGATGGTGAATCAAACCCAGGTGATGGGGCGTGAAGTGCGGGAGATCTGCCAGGAGATGAGCACCATCATGTCCGTGGTGAACCAGCGGTCTGAGCAGCAGGCTCAGAAACTGGAGGGGATGGAGAAACTGGTCCTCAGCATGCAGCAGGTCATCAGCTTCATTGGGGAGACCGTAAAGAGTTCAAAGATTATAGAGAGGATGTTCAAAGGCCCAGCTGCTCGGAAAGCCAAATCTAAAGACACTAAAGGAAAGCAGATGACTAAGAGGAAATCATCCACGGATACAACAACTAAAACGCTTGACAAGGTGAGACAATTTGGGGAAAAAAGACTTAAGTGTAAAATGTTATTTAACTTAAAAGTGCATTTATGATTTTAATGTATATATACATGCTTTTTAATGTATGTTTTACCTGTTGTCTTGTGTTTGTCTGGGCTGCTTATTCAGGACATCCTCTTTTCCAAACTGACTTTGACATCTTAGATCTTGGCATCTTGTTTTTCTTGGCAGAACATGTGAAAACGATCGCAGCTGTGCAGTTGACCCACATTTTTGTTGCACGTGAAATGCATTTTTGTTTGCAATACAGCTTAGTAAAGTGGAGAAATGGTCCATCGTCACGGTGGACCTTGGCATGCATACTTGGCAACAACTTTTTTCGGAGTAAAGAAATTCAGAAAGCAATTTTTAGATGAGTTGCTACTGAACTGTAAAACTGGCATTTGTGTAAAGTCCCAGTTTAACTCATGTTTATTGCTCTTGGCTGTCATCCTGTGGTGGACGCAATGTGGCTTCCTTGGCATTAGGCTTTGTGTGGGACTTCTGGCATCACACGAGAGGGCCAGTATGAGGGGGAAATAAGAGTGGCTTGGGTTTCTTTTTTTTTTCCACCCAAAGTTTTGGGGTCTGCAGAATTTGTTGGGTTTACCCTCTTTTCAGCTTACCAAGTGTCAACAATTTATGAAGAGGTCAAACCCTTTCTTTTTTTGACCTCTGTTTCTCTCATTCATTTATATTTTTTGTGGATGTGTTGAGCCAGCACTACTAGTCTTACCTTGTTCCAGAGTTCATGTTATTACTGTGCCGGTTAGGGGAACCAGCTCAACTTCAGAAGAGCTACAAATGAGTAAAGCGGACGTTGTCTGAAGTTAATGCTAAGTAATTATTCCATGGCTAACAAAATGTCTTAACATACACAAATAAATTAATGATTGTCAAAGAGTTATACGCATTCATAAGCATATCAGATTGCTTTAGATTTATCAGTTTGAAATGTTCATATACTGTACACTTCTTCATGTGGGGCTGAAGCTACCTACAAATCTGATCTGCTTTCTGTCCTTTTTGATCGGGTCATTAGGTGGAGTGTGATGGCTCTATAAAAAGGTCACTAAGTGCTACTTGGCAGCAGAAACGTTGTGACGCTCCTGCCAGTTGCATGGCTCCAGAGGGTTTGTTTTTCCTTCAAGTAAGAAATAAAAGTGAAAATCAAACGGCTCTAAAAGGTTGTGATAGTAATATTTTATGTTAATAAAAAACACTGAAACAGTAGAGTTAGTTAGACTTAAAGCTAATTTGCCCTGATTGAATTAAAAAAGTTTGCTCGTAATTTTTAATTGTTTTTTTTTTTACTTCCTAATTAATGACGATCATCAAAAAGATCTAAGGCTCTTTGGCTCGTGTTTCTGTGATGTCATCAGAGAGCTTCACAGTCATGAAAATTTAATTTAACGGGGAGTGGTGGCGCAGAGGTTAGAGAAGGTGGGCCTGTGACTGGAAGTTCGCTGGTTCGACTCCCCGGACTGACAACGTCAAAATGTGGGTGGAAAAGATGAAACACCCACACCTGCCTCCACCATCATTTGCATCCACTCTGCACCCTTGAGCAAGGCCCTTAACCCCCACCATCTGCTCTCAAACACAAAATGAGTCCTTATGACTCAACGAGACTGTACAAATACAGGTTAAGTAAAATAAAATATTTAACATGTAATTCTTGTCTTGTCTCTTCAACACACACACACGCCCCGGTCTCCCAGTCAAAGATCTTAACCACCCTGCTGTCTCTAGGGTAATCCCTGCCCTGAAAACTCACCTTTCCCTGTTTACATCGCAACAGCATTCATAACCGAATGTGCGTCATCTCAGGCTCAAGGCAGGCGTTTCCATCAGAACCTGATCAGTGTGTGTTTAGCGAGTATCTTTGACTCAGCGGGGAAATCTGAACAACAACGTCCAGTCCTTGTAATATTTTCCACAGAGGGTCAGCATTACATTCCACTGCTGAGTGCGACAAGGGATAAGCTATAAATTCACTGCCCTGCTGCCGTCGATCCATCAGCCATGAATAAGCAAAGGCATGTCATTATATAAACTGAAATGAGCATGGTGACATGCAACAAGTGTGCTCATTTTGTATAAGGGCTTGTCCCTTGCAGCACCTTCTTTGTCATTTAGGGAACTTCTAACTCAATATTTATGTAAATGTGTATCATTTCTGTGCAGAACATTAACATGTCTATAATGTCAAGTATCTTTTTTTTATTTCACCGTGTTGCTTGTATTGCTGGAGACTCTAACTTAATTTAAACGTGCCACTTTATTTGATCTTCCTATTATAAGCTTTTCCATCTTGTCTTTTTATTAGAAAACTTCCTCTAACACAGCCAATAAAGGAAAACAGGAGGTAAATCCTGCATGCGAGGCCAGTTCTCTGCAGCCCTCTCGCAAGATAAAGCTCCATGGACCAAAGCGTTTCCTCGCATCCCGTAAATGTGGAAACTTTGTACGTTTACTGTGCTCATAAACTGTTTAGTAGAACTTGTCTTTTTTTATTTATGTTGTATTTGTGTGTGCTTTTGCATTTCTGACTGTACCGGCTGCTGCCTCACTCTTCATACTATGAAGCTAAACACTGTTGTCTTGTGGATACTGCTGGTTTGACTTTACTAACAAAAAAAAAACATATAATACCAAAAGTCATGTTAGTCACGGCAGTGGAGTTATTTAAAAAAAATGGAAAAAATAAAATAAAATGAATAAAACAGGGTTGAGGGACTGATCTGAATTGTTTGTTTCAGACAAAAATAAACCCAACATCAATCAGCAACATTTTAGTGAATATGAATTCTTTAGGGATAAACACACAAGCACAATCTTACTGGTTTCACTGTTTTTCTTTTGTTTCACAGCTTAAAGATCATAAAGGCAAAGATGGGACGGATAAGCCTAGTTTGAGCCAGAAGAGTCTTAAAGCTCAGAAGGAGATGAAACCTCCAGATGATGCAGGTACTGAAATCAGCAGACTTTTACTTGTTCAACCTTTTTTTTAAATATATATAAAGTTCGTATTTGTATAATTTATTGTATTATACAATACAACTGCATTTAAAATTTTATTGCACATCATTTAGAAACATGTAAACTAACATTGATTTATAAGGTTGCATGCACAGTGACAAAATGTTTTAGTGAAATATTTGTCAACCTCATGAAATTTCTAACTTTTTAATATTCAAAAGAGCTCTGATGGTGTCTTTTTATAATAAGAATTCCATGTGGTCTCTCTGTAGATAATGTCTCCCTGAAGAAACAGGCTTTGCTTCTCGAAGAGGTGCAGGAACTAAATAGAGAAAACGCGGCACAGTCAGGTCACCAGCTCTCCTCCCTGGATCTGGAGGCTGGAGTGCCCCCCC